TTATTTTAACCCATCGATCAGTTAGTACCAACCCAACCCAAAAATAAAACAAAATTTTGGGGTTTTTGATCATTTTCGGATATAACTTATTAATTGTGAATGATAGAGAATTACTTTTTACACAAAAAACGTTTAGAATTAACTCAAGTATCATATGGAACAAAGATATTTACTCCAACAATCAGTTTACCAACTCAACCTAAGAAAATTGGAGATTTTGACGTTTTCAACAATTTTTTTTTGATAACTCAATAATTATAACTGATGGAAAAAAATGTTTGGTACAAAAAAGGTTTAGAATGAACCCATAAAACATGTCAAATTAGTTATTTTAACCCATCGATCAGTTAGTACCAACCAAACCCAAAAATAAAACTAAATTTTGGGGTTTTTGATCATTTTCGGATATAACTTATTAATTATGAATGATAGAGAATTACTTTTTACACAAAAAACGTTTAGAATTAACTCAAGTATCATATGGAACAAAGATATTTACTCCATCAATCAGTATTACCAACTCAACCTAAGAAAATTGGAGATTTTGACGTTTTCAACAATTTTTTTTTGATAACTCAATAATTATAACTGATGGAAGAAAATGTTTCGTACAAAAAAGGTTTAGAATGAACCCATAAAACATGTCAAATTAGTTATTTTAACCCATCGATCAGTTAGTACCAACCCAACACAAAAATAAAACTAAATTTTGGGGTTTTTGATCATTTTCGGATATAACTTATTAATTATGAATGATAGAGAATTACTTTTTACACAAAAAACGTTTAGAGTTAACTCAAGTATCATATTGAACAAAGATATTTACTCCATCAATCAGTATTACCAACTCAACCTAAGAAAATTGAAGATTTTGACGTTTTCAACAATTTTTTTTTGATAACTCAATAATTATAACTGATGGAAGAAAATGTTTCGTACAGAAAAGCTTTAGAATTAACCCATAAAACATATCTAATAAGTTATTTTAATCCACCGATCAGTAGTACCAACCGAACCAAATAATAAAACCAAATTTTGATGTTTTTGACGATTTTCGGTTAGAACTTATTAATTATGAGTGATGGAGAATTACTTTTTAAACAAAAAAAGTTTTGAATTACCTTATAAGACGTATTGAATACAAATATTTACCCCATCAATCAAAATTACCAACCCAACCTAAGAAAAATAAAAATTTTGACGTTTTCAACAATTTCCTTTTATAACTCAATGATTATAGCTGATGGAAAAAAATGTTTCGTACAAAAAAGGTTTAGAATTAATCCATAAAACAGATCCAATAAGTTATTTTAATCCATCGATCAGTTAGTACCAACCCAACCCAAAAATAAAACCAAATTTTGAGGTTTGTAACAATTTTGGGTTATAACTTATTAATAATGATTGATGTTGAATCACTTTTTAATCAAAAAATGTTTAGAATGAACTCATAAAATGTATTGAATAAAGATATTTACTCCATCAAACGGTACTATCAACCCAACTTGAGAAAAATTGAAATTTTAACGTTTTCGTCCATTTTTTTTCTATAACTCAATAATTATAACTGATAGAAAAAAATATTTAATACAAAAAAGGTTTAGAATGAACCCATAAAACATATCCAGTATGTTATTTTAATCCATCGGTTAGTAGTACCAACCCAACTCAAAAATAAAACCAAATTTTGACGTTTTTGATAATTTTCGGTTATAACTTATTAATAATGAATGATGGAGAATTACTTTTTAAACAAAAAACGTTTATAATTGACTCATAAAACGTATTGAATCAAGATATTTAGTCCATCAATCGGTATTACCAACCCAACTTAAGAAAAGTTAAAATTTTGACGTTTCCATCAATTTACTTCTATTAATTAATGAGTTAATTATAAGTTTTAGAAAAAAACTTTTCATACAAAAAAGGTTTACAATTAACCCATAAAATATATGCATTAAGTTATTTTAATCCACCGATCAGTAGTACCAACCCAACTCGAAAATACAACTAAATTTTGAGGTTTTTGATCATTTTCGGATATAACTTATTGTTTATGAATGATGGAGAATTACTTTTTAAACAAAAAATGTTTAGAATGAACTCGTAAAACGTATTAAGTAAAGATATTTACTCCAAATCATCATCATTGCCAACCTAAGAAAAGTAGAATATTTGACATTTTCATCAATTTCTCTCTATAACTCATTAATTATAATTTAAAAAAAAAAATATTTCAAACAAAAAAAGTTTAGAATTAACCTATAAAACATATCTAATAAGTTAATTTAATCCATCGATCAGTAGTACCAACCTATCCCAACAGTAAAACCGAATTTTGACGTTTTTAACGATTTTTGGTTATAACTTATTAATAATAAATGATGGGGAATTACTTTTTAAACAAAAAACGTTTAGAATTAATTCATAAAACGTATTGAATAAAGATATTAATTCCTTCAATCAGTATTACCAACCCAAACCAAAAATAACATTTATATCATTTTCGGTTATAACTTATTAATTATGCGTTATGTTTTAAACAAAAAATGATGCGAATTAACTCATAAAGCGTATTTAATAAATATATTTGTTCCAATTTTAAACCATCGATCAATATTACCAACTTAACCAAATTTTTTTAATTGATTTTTAATCATTTTTTATTGTTTTAGGTGGCCGTTTACGTAGAGACACAACACTAAGTCAAGGAAACGATTTCGAACTCGTCCCGGAATCTCTTTGGAAAGCCCTCCAACTCTGGTACGGGTGTTCTCTCCCCCTCCCGCGGCAAGTAATCAAACCCCCAAACTCCCCGGACGTCGAACTCGAACTTTACCCATTAAATTTACGAATACTCCAACATCACAATCAATCCTCATCAACATCCGGTTCTCCAGCGACTTGGAATAGCATCGTCGGGGGTTATGGTGCGGCCGCTTTGAGTACAGCGGGAATTACGAGCACCCCAGTGGCTCCCCCAAGGCGATATCTCGCCCATACAGCCGCTTTCTCCCGATTATCAAACGTCAGACAGGTTATTGAATTTTTAGGCGCACGCTTATTATTTCGAACCGAAGATATCCGATTATGGCACGTTAAGGAGGGATCAACGATACTTTTAGAAGACGAAACATCGACGTTACAAGATTTGGGAATCGGAGATAACGAACAAATCCTTTTGGAGGTTCGAAATAAAGATTTAACATGGCCCGAAGAGTTAGGCGCGTTGGTTAGTGGCAACACAGCCGTTCAATCACTAATTTCATCCGAACGAAGACCCACGATAACACTCCCACCCGGCGCTACGGGTTTACACAACTTAGGAAACACGTGTTTTATGAACGCTGCGTTACAAGCCGTATCAAACACGCGCCCATTAACGTTATATTTCCAAAGAGATCTGCAACTTTGCGAGTTAAACTCGGTGAATCCCCTCGGAACTAAAGGACAAGTCGCGAAGAGATACGCCGAGTTGTGCAGGGATTTATGGGCGGGCTCAACTCGCAGCGTGGCCCCTTTAAAATTAAGATATTGCGTAACTAAACATGCTCCGCATTTGGGTGGAGGGGGACAACACGATTCTCAAGAATTATTAGCTTGGTTGTTGGATTCGTTGCATGAGGATTTAAATCGCGTCCCAAAAAAGCAATATTCCGAGTTGAGGGATTCTGATGGAAGACCTGATGAGGTTGTGGCACAAGAAGCCTGGAGCCAACATTTAGCGCGGGATCATTCTATAATTACCGATTTATTTTATGGGCAATTAAAGAGTAAGGTTAGTTTAAAAAAAAATAGAATTAACTCGTAAAACGTATTGAATGAAATCAGGATTACTAACCCAATCTAAGAAAAGCAGAAATTTAAAAATAATTTTGTAATGTTTCATACAAAAAGGTTTGGAATTAACCCGTATAACATATCAAATACGTTATTTTAATCCATCGATCAATAGTACCAACCCAACCCAAAAATAACACTAAATTTTAATGTTTTTGAAGATTTTTGGTTATAACTTATTAATTATGAATGATGGAAAATTACTTTTTAAACAAAAAACGTTTAGAATTAACTCATAAAACGTATTGAATATAGATATTTTCTCCATCAATCAGTATTACCAACCCAACTTATGATAAATAGAAATTTTGACGTTTTTCAAAAATTTTTTTTTATAACTCAATAATTATGACCGATGGAATAAANAAACGTTTAGAATTAACTCATAAAACGTATTGAATATAGATATTTTCTCCATCAATCAGTATTACCAACCCAACTTATGATAAATAGAAATTTTGACGTTTTTCAAAAATTTTTTTTTATAACTCAATAATTATGACCGATGGAATAAAATGTTTCATACAAAAAAGGTTTAGAATTAACCCGTATAACATATCAAATAAGTTATTTTAATCCACCAATCAATAGTACCAACCCAACCCAAAAATAACACAAAATTTTGATGTTTTTGACGATTTTCGGTTATAACTTATTAATTACATATGATGGAGAATTATGTTTTAAACAAAAAATGTTGGGAATTAACTCATAAGACGTATTTAATAAACATAATTGTTCCATCAATCAGCATTACCAACTTAACTTAAGAAAATTAGAAATTTTGACGTTTTCATCAATTTTCTCCTATAACTCATTAATTATAACTGATAGAAAAAAAATTTTCGTACAAAAAAGGTTTAGAATGAACCCATAAA